GACGGAAGCAACGACGGCAGCACTCCGGCGGAGCTCGAGGGCGTTGCGGCGAGAGGAGGAAGAAAGAGGCAAGAGTAGGGGCAGGAGGGCGCACGTGCTCCGTCGCTTCCCCTCCTCCCCCTACTAATAGCCGTCGGGCTACGAAGCCGAGGGGGCGAGCGTGGGATCGTGGGATTAACTGTGCCCACGACCCCACGTCCCCCCATTTTATCGCGCGAGTTACCGCGCACGGTAACTCCGCGGAGAAGCTTAACCGGCTGCCTCGGCCGCGGCGGATCCGCTCGTGTGCCGAGGCCCGGTAGTGGCGGGCCCGACCTGCTGTCACGTCCCATCACACGCGTGGGCTGGCAGGCTGGCCCGGTTGGTTGGCGCCAAGTGGCATGCCCACGGCAGGCGGCGGGCCTGGAGGCTTCGCTAGTACGCCACTTGGTTCCCGCCGTTGCGTCCGAAGTTTTCGGTCAAGTCCGACTGGTCGTGGCCGACTCCCTCCACGTGGCGCGCTGGTAGTCGTATGAAGCTTCAAGACCAGAGCACTCGGAGAAGGAAACTGTTGAGGCTTCTCGGCTGATCAGCTGCGACGCCTCACCAACTTCGGGGACTGCTGTCGGAGTAATGGGCCACGGGTAGCCTAACCTGAGTCCCTGAGCCTTTCAAGACATCGGGGCTGGCTGCACCCCTCAAGACATCAAGAAGAAGTGCCTCCTTATGGTGGCCGGCTGTCCCAAGCGGCCGACTGCCGGAAGGCGGCCGAGTTCAAGAAGGAGGCTCCAAGACGGGCTGACTTCCCGCGGGCAACCTCCGGAGAAGCCGGCTCCTGGCAGGCGGCCCACCACGTCCTCGGAGTCTGCGCTCCCATTTAAGAAGAAAAGACGGGGTGAGGCTACAGTGTAGCCCATCACCCCTTATCCAGGGCCGGACGTGGCCACAGTACTCCGTACAGACGAAGATCTCTGCCTGTACGTGGCACTGTTGCCACTCCTTCCTTGACGTCCCTGCTGGCAGGCGAGGCCCTGTTCCCACAACGACCTGTTGGTATGGCCTGCAGGCGGCGGGCCCTACTGGGCAGCGAGAGCCCGGTAGTCGGCAGAGGCCGGACCAGTCGAACCTGAGGGAGGCCGGCTCCCGGTAGGCGGCCCGTTCCTCCCTCGAGGTCCGCTCACCATTAACCAGATGAGACCCGGAGTGGCTACAGTGATCTCCCACCAGGCGGTGGGACTGTAGCCACGCTCCCCTGACCAAGCATGCGTCATTAGCACCACGGCTACAGTAACTAGCAGCCGGCAAGACACGCGAGCGGCGGGAGCGGCCTGTCGCCTCCGTACCAGACCAGTCGACGAGGTCCACCAGGCAGCGGGCCCCGGCAGCCGGCGGAGAAGCTGGCGACAAGAGACGCTGAAAGCCGGGTCCTACACCCGGCCAGATTACCAATGTACCCCTAGGGGGTAGGACTATATAAACCCCCCAGGGCACCCATGCAAAGGGTTCCCAACCTGTTAGAACTAGACTCATACCTAGAGGAAGGAGAGAGCGTGTCTGCCTTCTTCTACCTCTAGCATACAGCTCGAGGAGCACCATTGTACTCACTAGTGCCTTAGTGATCATGCGGAGACCCCACAGAACAGGACTAGGGGTGTTATCTCCTAGGAGAGCCCCGAACCTGGGTAAAGTACGCCGGCGTTCGTGTCTACGCCTCATCCCGCTTCCAGGCACCGGCGACGTTCTACTCGCTCCCACCATGATAAGCCATCCATTGGCATATGTCGCACCCAACCCCCGACAACGAGAGTTTGCGCTAGGTGGGATGACGGTGTTTCGGCATCGATCTACACTACTCTGGTAGCGGCCAATGCTTCTAGACATTCCTTGTCGGCTTGTCGTTGTTGACTGAGTTGCACCACATAAGAAGCTAAGCATCTTAGAGCATCTTCGTTAGATGTTATAGATACAAGAATAACATATTTTTACACCACCAAGGAATAAAAACGATGCTCTAATAGATAATGTAGATGAAAAAAAAATTATTCGACTATTTTATGTAAAATAGGGCACCAAGTGATGCAAATTTTTTATCACTTGTTAGCAAATCCAAAAGCAGCCGCGTGAAGGCTCAACCGTCATTCGGAAGGTTTCCGCTGCCTTGCTGCCTGCTCGATCTCCTTTCTGCCACCGTCACGACCACCGGGCCGCCATGGCTGCCTCCTCCAACCCCGTGGCCGTCGCCGCCGCTACCACGCATGTCGCCATGGCCCTCCATCGCCGCCATCCGTAGCACACCAAGCAGCGGCCACGGCCCACCACCGCCGCCACCTGCAGCACACCAAGGAACGCCCATGGCAGCCCGGTGGCCAAGCAGCGACCAAGCACACGGAATCATCATTTTTTCGGCGTGCAGGTCGCTATGGTCCCGCCCTAATGCTCTTCATGCCGAGTTGGGTGGATGCATGGAAGGTCTCTCGCTCATCAGTGGACCACCTTGCCAATTATTGCTGAATGTGATAGCCTATAGGCGGTACAACTGATAAACTCCAACGCACTGGACATATCGATGTACCCCATGGTTGTGACAGAGGTGAAGAGCCTCATGGGTGAAAGAGAGTGTGTGTTTACTCATATTTCTAGGGAGCAAAATAAAACTAGCCATGTTCTTGCTAACTTCGGCCGGACGGAGGAGCACGCTGTTGTTTGGATCCAATCCGGGCCAGACAATATCCCTAGTTTGTGTAGGGATAAAGTTCTTTGCTCTTGAGTAATACACCATTCGTACCCCCACAAAAAAGCTCAGCATCCGAAGCCTCCTCAACCCTACACCAATCCCCTTTCCTGTGTTCTAAATTCTCACTCGTGCCCCATTTAGTCCACGTTTTGAAGTTCACATGCATCTGATTACTTGAAGTCCCCTGTCCTTTTTTACTAATTCACCAGAATATTTTTAAATCACCATTGTGCTTTTACCAACCTCTGTATTGTTGTATATCGTTGCTCATTAGGAGTATCAGTGTTCTCCCTTTATGCCGATAGTCATCCATCTTAATAGCTTATATAATTATACATTATACATTATTCGAGATGGACATATTGAGGTAGATGGTTCTATATGTGCTTGTTCTCCTTTTGGCTCTGTGAGCATGCTGAGGCAAAGGGTTACTTAGAATTTGGACTTTAGTTTAATTTTGTTTCCTGAATGGGCATGGTATATAAGAATTTGTGTGAACTATGTCAATCTGAAACATCAGTCCACTTTGAATCTTATTATTAAGTCCCAGTGTGTGTTGTAGTTAATTTCAGTCCATTCACAATATTATTATTGAGTACACTATATAATGTTTAATTGGTTGGTCATGAACTAAAATTTGAATTTGAAGGCAAAAAAACATTATCCGACGTGAATTGCCAAATGTTTGGTGAGTCATTTGGCGACAAACCAAATGGTAGCCTACCATTTTGCCGACTTTTAGGTAGGCTCTATGGCTACAAACCAAACAATGTATAGTAACCAATGTTCTTCTCATGCCTTTGCTTGGTCATGCCAAAATTTTGGTAGAGCGGAGTGGGCCTCAATCCAAACAAACCCTAGAATGCATGCCAAGATGAGCTATGTTGGTTCCATTGCTTTGTCCATTGTGTGATTCATCTATTTAGTTGTGTGGCACATTTTGTTCTGGAAAATTGTGTTGGGTGAGTTGATCGTATAACATGAAGTAGAGCTAGCTTGTTATATAGGGAGTAGACTATTTTTAGTCTCAAGGAACGATAGAACTACAATATGGCCTATCTACCTTCATCAATTTTGTAGCACGATGTGAGAATCTGGTAAATGCTTTTATTTCCATTTTGGTAATAGAATGAGTTGATGAGGGTTGGTGATAAACCTTTAACTTAGTCACTATTATTTGAGAAATAGGGTATGTTGCCGGCATATATGTATGTATGTTGTCAGTGTTGTGAGCATCAATCGCCTGATTGCCTTGCTATGACAAGTCAATCTACCACTTCATATTCACAATTTAGTGCATATCTTAGGATATATTGCAATACATGAATCTAGAAATGCTATGTTTCACATTAATTTTTCAAATTACGAGACACGGCGAGGGTTATCACATATGTGCAGTATATGCAATCGAAAAACTGCACCCATTGATTTAACACCATCTTCTTAAATCTAACATTACTAAACTTCAACTCAATGTATGCTTTTATCTATTGATTCTGGTCTGAATGAGAAGACACCACCCATTTGGCTGTTTCCACCCTTTGTCGATTTTTTTGGCTGTTTCCAGTTGAATGATTTATCCTTAATTTCAATGCGTCAATGAGCTCGTATGATGTATCAGTAAACGACATATACCTTGCGGTAGAAATTATAAGAACAAATACATAGTTCGTACCTGGTAGCATGTTAGAAGACTTCTATGATGTTTGTTGTATCTCCATTCTACCCTGTCATTACACTTCAATGTAACTACACAATGATTGCATAGCTTTGCTTGACCATATATGGGCTAACTGAACTTACTATTGATCCCTCCGCTATTATTGGTCCTCTTCTTTTCTCTATGTTTTGGATGTTGTTGTTTATTGACGACAATGAGATGCAAGATGGAACAAATTCTAAGCCATTGTTGCATTTATAAATAAATGTCTTCTTTACCCTTCAATTTGGTTTCAGTTACTGATGGTTCACACGTTTTGATGTCATGTGATCGGCAACCGATCCTTGCTGACCTGGTGGGTATGAGTGGTTCGGATCCCCCTCACTAAGATGATTCCTCCATGTTATGTATCATGCAATGTTCAATACTTGTGTTAATGATCATTACGGTCGAACTGGAGATGCAAACAAGCAACGATGGCCTAATTTTGGTTAAAAGGTGCTTCAAAGTTGTCCTAGATTTTTTGTTGTGAAAAGGATCAGATTTATTATAAAAGTTCACCGGAAGTACAAAGCATCTCAAAGATAATAAAAATTACATCAAGATTTCGAGACCATCAAACGTCCACTATTGCCACAAGAATGAGACGTCGACGCGCCGTTGTTGCCGCTCCCCTACTGAGGTCGACTTGACCATGTAAAAAGTTATCCTAGATTTTAGAATAGATGTGGAGACACTAGGATTTATGTGGCCAGTGTCTTGAACAATGGGCGGGGGATATATTGTTTTAGAAAGACAATGGGAGGACTGCATGTCCTACATAACAAAAAGGTTTCACCGATAGATCTTTTTACAAGAACGAAAATGGTTGATGTCCATTTCCCATAAAAGTATTTGTAGAAAATGAAGGTGCCTCTGAAGATCAGGACTCTTTTGTGATTAGGTTTTGTTTCTGACCGAGATAAGGATTGACCAAGAGAGGATGGCAAGGAAACAAATGATGTCAATTAATTAAATATTTTATGTGTCAATCAGTTATAATTCCATTGTTTGATAGCAAAATATACTTGGAGAATTTGTGCATATGATTTATAATCTGAAGTTACTAACCTAGGTGATGATGTCAGCTTGGTGGATGCTCTTAGAGCACTAGATCTCGAGCTCTGGGGTGAAACCACTAGATCCAACTTTTGATGGTTGCACTTGGCAATGGCTGTATTTATGCATCATGTTTTTGTTGAAGACATTGCTTTGGAGTTGCGTAGGCAGGCTCTCTCTGGTTGAAAAACCCAATACCTCACCCTTAGTGGTTGGATCCGGCAGTTGCAAGTGTGTTGGCCGCGTCGGTTTTCTTCGTTCATTTATTTCTTCTTCTTTTCAATTTTTTGTTGTTGTGTGCATCCTTAATGTCTCAACTTTGTCTTGATATTGTGTCATTGCATAGACCGGGTGTAACTGATATCATCTTGATATTAATATATTATCGATTGTCGAAAAATGTCTGTAAAAGAGAACCCTGTCGACAAGGACGTTGTTTCTGTCGAGATGGACCATTGATTCACATCGATATTTGTGATAAAAGTTTAAGAGATACTGAAGCATACTTAATTTAATTTACTTTATTATTACTTCTACATAACCTTTGTCACTAACTGATTCTTAACACCCACTTTACAGCAACGTACATAGGCAGTGAAGTACCAAATTTTATTCCATTAGGTCAGGCAATACATAATACGTACCGCGGTAGACAATACCACAGTCCCGCAATAAGCCCACCTGCTTATGTACGTACAACGTGATTCAGCTCACGACAACGTAACTATTTTTGAATCACTATTTTTACCCCCAAAAAAACATAACTACACCCCAGGATACTTGGCCTTGTAGTCGCTCCACAGCTGGTCCACGCTCTTCCCCAGGATCTGCACGAAGTAGTCGTCGCTGTAGCCGTCCTTGAGCTTGCCGTTCATCTCCGCCACGAAGCCGGGCTTGAGCGAGTCACAGTAGTCCAGGAACCTGGCCGTCACGTCGTACCCCTGATCCCACCGGTCGCCGCCGCCCTCCTTCACCCAGTGCCCCGGCACGTACCCGGCCTTGAGCCGCACGTAGTCCGCGATGCCCTCGAAGACCCCCGAGTGCGCGCCGTAGTCCTGCAGCCCCCACTGCCACACGTGCGCCACCTCGTGGTACAGCACCCCCGTCACCTGCTCCTTGAGGTCGTCGCCGGTGATGCCGCCGACGTAGCGGGCGCTGAGCTCCACGGTGCTGCCGCTGGTGGCGGCGATGCCGTCCGTGTCGCGGACGGCGAGGGTGACGGTGTCGCCGTCGGCGGGCCTACGGTCGGAGGGGTCCGGCTGGTTGAAGATGCCCCAGGTGAAGGAGGACGCGTCGGACAGCACCTGCTTGGCGTAGTCGGCGCCGTACTCCTGGTCGAACCGCTGGCCGCCGGCCGTGCTCGACGCCTCGTTCGTCACGTCGAATGTGACGGCGCCCGCCGTGGCTGCCAGGGCCAGGAGGAGGAGGGCGATGGAAATCTTCATCTCGCTCGTCTGGGTGCTTTGGTGAGTGCTACGTGGTGTGCTGGGCAGCTCAATTTATATGCAGCACCGGTGCGTGCGTGGTACGTACTAGTGAACCATGCAGCTTGACGTGTTCTTTCCAACATGGCCAAACTTGCTTTGACTTATCTTTGGACGACTGTGCCAAACGCGCGGTGCCAATGAATTCGCGAAACTGCGAGGAAGCTAAATCCTGGAAGCTTCCTTGCACAATGTTTTTCCAATCCCAGGAAGTCCTTGTGCCGTGCTTGACCGTTCGAATTTCAGTCAGTGCGTACGTGTTAGGTCTTCCGGCGAAGAGTTTTTATGTGGTCTTTAGATTTTTCAAAGTGTACCTTATATTCCAAGCTAAATAAAAAAGCACCCCTTATGTAAGATAACAGTCTCTACTAGGAGTACTCCCTAGTGCCAGAGAGGTAGGATGTACATGTGTGCATTTATATAGATGCACGTATATATGTTTTTATGAGCGTGTTTGTACCGAGTTTTTTTTTTAAGAAAAATCCAGATCCTTGTCCTGGTGATCCGGCGGGCCATCAGCATCGGCACTAGACTTTCCAGCAGAACTGTCTTCGGCCGTGGCCCGTGGGCTCGACTAATCAATGCAAGTGAGAGAAAAATCAGTCAAGGCTAAGAGCAGCTGAACCTAGCAAAATCTGCTCCTCAAACTTGGCGGACTGGTTCGGACGTGTTTGTAGACAATGACCGGTCAACACTTATTTTTGGTCCATTGCAATTACATATCTCAAACTTCACTTCTCAAATCCATATTACAGCATCTACAGCAGGACACCTCAAACCCCCCTCAAACGTTCGGGCAGACGGTCCGTTCAGTGGCCGGTCAAAAAAACCGATCTAGACGAGCGCCTCAAACAGGCTTCACACACCCAGGCTGCCCGGCACCTCTCATATCCAACCCCAATACGGGACGGATATGGAGAGGCATGGGCGCGTCTGCCACGTCAGACCGGCGATAGGGTCCTACACAGAAACACCCCGAAACCCGATGGTCTGAAACTCGTCTCCTTCGTCGAACCTATGGCGTTGCGTGGCGCTACTCTGGCAGGCCGTGTAGTGCCCTTCGGCTATTTAAGAATACCGCCGGCACCAAAACCCTATCCGTCCATATTTCCCCTCCCGTCCTCCGCCGCTGCTACAGATAGGGAACATGCATGGAAAACAAAAAAAAAATCTACAAAACACCCAAGGTCTATTCTATGGAGATGCTAGCAACGAGAGGGGGGTGCGTCTATATACCCTTGTATACCGAAAGCGTTATCGATCTAGATATCGTGGTTGGCGTAATCGTACTCCTTCGCGATCCAATCCGATCCGAGTACCAAATGAAAGGCACCTCTGAGATGTGCACACGTACGGCTCGTTGACGTCACCGCCTTCTTGATCCAGCAAGGTAGGTGAAGGAAATATGCCCTATAGGCAATAATAAAGTTATTATTTATATTTCCTTATATCATGATAAATGTTTATTATTCATGTTAGAATTGTATTAACCGGAAACTTAGTACATGTGTGAATACATAAACAAACATAGTGTCACTAGTATGCCTCTACTTGACTAGCTCGTTAATCAAAGATGGTTAAGTTTCCTAGCCATGGACAAAGAGTTGTCATTTGATAAGCAGGATCACATCATTAGAGGATGATGTGATTGACTTGACCCATCCGTTAGCTTAGCGCGATGATCGTTACAGTTTCATTGCTACTGCTTTCTTCATGACTTATACATGTTCCTCAGACTATGAGATTATGCAACTGCCGAATACCAGAGGAACACCTTGTGTGCAATCAAACGTCACAACGTAACTGGGTGATTATAAAGATGCTCTACAGGTGTCTCCGATGGTGTTTGTTGAGTTGGCATAGATCAAGATTAGGATTTGTCACTTCGAGTATCGGAGAGGTATCTCTGGGCCCTCTCGGTAATGCACATCACTATAAGCCTTGCAAGCAATGTGACTAATGAGTTAGTTACGGGATGATGCATTACGAAACGAGTAAAGAGACTTGCCGGTAACGAGATTGAACTAGGTATTGAGATACCGACGATCGAATCTCGGGCAAGTAACATACCGATGACAAAAGGAACAACGTATATCGTTATGCAGTTTGACCGATAAAGATCTTCGTAGAATATTTAGGAGCCAATATGAGCATCCAGGTTCTGCTATTGGTTATTGATCGGGGATGAGTCTCGATCATGTCTACATAGTTCTCGAACTTGTAGGGTCCGCACGCTTAATGTTCTATGACGATTTGTATTATGAGTTATGTGATTTGATAATCGAAGTTTTTTCAGAGTCCCGGATGAGATCGGGGACATGACGAGGAGTCTCAAAATGGTCGAGATGTAAAGATCGATATATTGGAAGGCTATATTCGGACATCGGAAAGGTTCCGAGTGATTCGGGTATTTTTTTGGAGTACTGAAGAGTTACGGGAATTCGTATTGGGCCTTAATGGGCCATACGGGAAAGGAGAGAAAGGCCTCAAGGGTGGCCATGCCCCTTCCCCATGGACTGGTCCGAATTGGACTAGGGAAAGGGGGCGCCCCTTCCTTCCTTCTCCTTCTCCCTTCCCTTTTTCCTATTCCATGTGGGAGGTGGAATCCTACTAGGACTAGGGAGTCCTAGTAGGACTCCACACTTTGGGCGCGCCCTATGAGGACCGGCCTCCTCCTCCCTCCATCCTTTATATACGTGGCCAGGGGGCACCCCATACATAAGTTGATCATTGATCCCTTAGCCGTGTGCGGTGCCCCCCTCCACCATAATCCACCTCGGTCATATCGTCGTAGTGCTTAGGCGAAGCCCTGCGCCGGTAGCTTCATCATCACTGTCATCACGCTGTCGTGCTGACGAAGCTCTCCCTCAATACTCTGCTGGATCGTGAGTTCGTGGGACGTCACCGAGCCGAACATGTGCAGATCACGGAGGTGTCGTACTTTCGGCACTAGGATCGGTTGAATCATGAAGACGTATGGCTACATCAATCGCGTTGTCATAACGCTTCCGCTTACGGTCTACGAGGGTACGTGGACAACACTCTTCCCCTCTCGTTGCTATGCATCACCATGATAGATCTTGCGTGTGCGTAGGAATTTTTTTGAAAATACTGCATTCCCCAACAGGAGGGTGGAGAGGTAGATGGGATCTAGGCAAGCACGACAACGTGGTGGTGGCAGCAGAACACTGGCAGGGCTTCGCCAAGCGATACGCAGTGGAGAAGGAGTAACGGGAAGGAAAGACGGCCAAGGGTGGAAGGGTGTCTGCACCCTAAGCCTCCCCACCTTTATATAGGCGTGGAGGGGGCTAGTTGCTTGCCCTCCATGCCACTAGGGTCGTTGGCCAAGGCGGGAGGAAGGAAATCACCCCTTTCCTTCCCCACCAATCGTTATCCCTTTTTAGGGATCTTGATCTTATCCTTGGGGATATGATCTATTCCTTTTATGGGGGGTCTAGACCAGGGGTGTGGGGCCATGCCCAATACCCACGTCCATGCGGGTGATACATCTATTTTGCATCATGCTTTTATATCAATATTTATTGCATTATGGGTTGTTATTACACATTATGTCACAATACTTATGCCTATTCTCTCTTATTTTACAAGGTTTACATGAAGAAGGAGAATGCCGGCAGTTGGGATTCTGGGCTGGAAAAGGAGCAAATATTAGAGACCTATTCTGCACAGCTCCAAAAGTCCTAAAACTTCACGGAAGTTATTTCCAGAATATATAAAAAATACTGAGCGCAAGAAGTACCAGAGGGGGGCCACCTACCAGCCATGAGGGTGGGGGCGCGCCCTACCCCCCTGGGCGCGCCCCTGCCTCGTGGGCTCCCTGGTGGACCTCTGATGCTCATCTTCTGCTATTTGAGGTCTTTTGTCTGAGAAAAAATCATAAGCAAGCTTACGGGACGAAACTCCGCCGCCACGAGGCGGAACCTTGGCGGAACCAATCTAGGGCTCTGGTGGAGCTGTTCTGCCGGGGAAACTTCCCTCCGGAAGGGGGAAATCATCACCATCGTCATCACCAACGATCCTCTCATCGGGAGGGGGTCAATCTCCATCAACATCTTCACCAGCACCATCTCATCTGAAACCTAGTTCATCTCTTGTATCCAATCTTTGTATCCAAACCTCAGATTGGTACATGTGGGTTGCTAGTAGTGTTGATTACTCCTTGTAGTTGATGCTAGTTGGTTTACTTAGTGGAAGATTATATGTTCAGATCCATTATGCATATTAATACCCCTCTGATTATGAACATGAATATGCTTTGTGAGTAGTTACGCTTGTTCTTGAGGACATGGGAGAAATCTTGCTATTAGTAGTCATGTGAATTTGGTATCCGTTCGATATTTTGATGAGATGTATGTTGTTATACCTCTAGTGGTGTCATGTGAACGTCGACTACATGACACTTCACCATTGTTTGGGCCTATAGGGAGGCATTGGGAAGTAATAAGTAGATGATGGGTTGCTAGAGTGACGGAAGCTTAAACCCTAGTTTATGCGTTGCTTCGTAAGGGGCTGATTTGGATCCATATGTTTCATGTTATGGTTAGGTTTACCTTAATACTTCTGTTGTAGTTGCAGATGCTTGCAATGGGGGTTAATCATAAGTGGGATGCTTGTCCAAGTAAGAACAGCACCCAAGCACCGGTCCACACACATATCAAATTATCAAAGTACTGAACGCGAATCATATGAACATGATGAAAACTAGCTTGACGATAATTCCCATGTGTCCTCGGGAGCGCTTTCCTTCATATAAGAGTTTGTCCATGCTTGTCCTTTGCTAAAAAAAGGAGTGGGCCATCTTGTTGCACCTTATTTACTTTTATTACGTGTTACTCGTTACAAATTACCTTATCACAAAACTATCTGTTACCGATAATTTTAGTGCTTGCAGAGAATACCTTGCTGAAAACCGCTTATCATTTTCTTCTGCTCCTCGTTGG